AAGAGCAAGTAAATGAAGAAGAGGACGAAGAGGTAGAGAAGAAAAAAGCACCCAATGCATCAAAAGCTGGCAAAGACACATCGACGGCAGAAGCCCTGGAGAAGATGATTGAGGAAATACACCACCAACATGAGATACAACAGCAAAAGGAGTATTGCAAATATCGTAGATCATGCTATTCCAGCGGAAAGAAGCCAAAAATTGATGCATCAGTAGCAGGAATCATCTCGTCTTTTGGAGAGCAGTTAGAGAAAGCTTACGAGGAAGAGGAGGAAGCAATTTTACAAACCAGAAAAGAATTGAACAAAAAGCTTGGATGCAAGTACAGGAAATCTTGCTATGAAACTGGTATCCTTCCTCAGATAAATAAACCCGCTGATGAAGAAGGCATTACTTTTAAAGCTGGATTATCCAAACATCTACAATGTAAGTACAGGAAAAGTTGTTACGCTGAAGCAGGCTTAAAACCCGTAAAGGACATAGTCACCGAGACAGAAGAAAAGCGCAGACCATCCGAAGCTCACGCGAAACCCGATGACGAACTGAACGAAACAAGGAACGAAAGAGCAAGCGATGGAAGAAAAACACCAAGAGAGGACCGTCTGCCTGCTGGGCAGCAAAGGCAAGCGGAAGCTGGTAAGAAGGAAGAGGAGTGCAAACCTGGCACAGCATGTTATATTTCAGCTGAGCCTAAAGCCTTGAAAGAGGACCACGCAGGTAGCATGGCACGGATAGGCTTGGAACGCTATAAACAAAGTGGAAAGTGTAGTCCTTACTATTATTCTTGCCGTGAGGTGCTCGGCCTTCCACAGAAGGAGAAAGCTCCTATTGGACCAAATGGTAGACGCTTATGTCGCAAGAAACAGCTGTGATACGCTTTTTGCCTAGCCGCTTAGTTATCACTTTCCACCAGCTCGGCAGGGAATGTGTTTCTGCTTCGCATAATAGTAGTTTTGCTCATGCAGAAATAAACATTTTGCTTTGTACATCAAATTAAAACTTATGACAAGAAATGAGTAAGCAGATAGTAAAAACACGTACGTTTGGTTCGACTTCCTTTAGCCATTCGTTTGCCATGTCGTCGTAGTCGAGTTTACATGCAGTAGCAAGGTCGGAATGAGCTTCAACCCACTTTCCAAGAAGACTAAAGCGTGAATTTATTCAAAATATATAGTAAAAAAACTGCTGGTAGGCGATTGGTATCAGAAGGAATTATTACAGCAAAAATGATCAGCAACTGATCAATGAAACAATTTACGGATATTGGATTTGTTATAGAAAAGTTCTTTTGCTGCTGGGCACTGCATGCTAACAAAACATAAAGTTCGATTTGGAGAAAACCACAGTCAGATTCCAAATTAAAATTTGAATCTAGTATTTCGTGGTAAAAAGAAAAGTATGCGTAGAAATTGAAAAGATAAAAGAAAATCCAAAATTGTGATTTGGGAGTTCAGAACATACAGCTATTAAATGTTTTTTTTGAAATATTAGATAAAAACAAGCCAAACTTGTTACAGAAGCAATAGTTTATTCTTGAGAAGAAAATTTTGTATGAATCATGAACGCTGCACAGGTTTTCAACATTAAGTTCCACGATAAAAAGCA